AGTTCCGACTTGTTTTTAATAGACAGTGATACACCACAAATCATGACCTGCACAGATACATCTTTACTCTTCTGTATCGGCTTTCCCCACAAATTGTATTCAGATCGCCTGTTTGCTTCAGGGGATAACCCACACAATACAAGTATCATTGCAGAATTTGGAGCTTAATACACAGAGTGTGTATTGAAATTCTTTGTATTTGAATGGTAGAAACACAAAACTCTTTCATTTTCCATGCTGCATAGTCAAGCGGATCTTTGATGACACATATCGTAGAATGTTATTATGATTCAGTAGAATAGGGAGTAATTCAATGGTTTCAGAGAGAGAGACAGAGAGAGAGAGAGACAGAGAGAGAGAGAGGGGGGGGGGAGAGAGAGAGACAGAGATATAGAGGGGAGGGGGTCGAGTTTAAAAGTTAGTGCAACCCGTATAAATGAATTATTTTACATTCAACAAAATGTATTAATTATTGCTAAGGTCACAAATTAAAGGTTCATACGAACGACAATTTCGTACGAATCTCCCTGTTTTTCCATTGTCTTCCCGAATGTCAATCGTCTGAAAATCGTTCGTACGGCGTTCGTAGCAGTTCGTAATGGCATTTGTGACCGAGGATTATCCGATAAAAAGAAGGAGAAGACGAAAAAAAGAAAAAGAAAAAGAAGAACAAGAACAAAAAGAGAAGAAGATGGAGAAAAAGAAGAAGATGAAGAAGAATATCAAGAAATAGGAGAAGAGGAAGGAGAAGAAAGAAGAAGGAAGAGAAGAAGGAGCAGGGGGAGGAGAAGAATTACAACAGCAACAACAACAAGGAGATTAGAGGGAGAACAAGATTATTTGAATTACGAAATTACGAAGAAATTACGAGTTTTACGGCATGCATGGATATATTAAAGAAGTTCAAACTTACACGTAGGCCAGCTACGGAAAGATACTTTGGGTTCTAGGACACCTACCCCCTGGACATCCACCCCCGGATAACCGCCCCAGTCAACTACCCTCTAGGACAACTACCCCCTAGGACAAATACCCCCGGACGACCACCCTGGATAACTGCCTCCAGACAACTACCCCCACGACAACCACCCTCTAGGAAAACTATCCCCGGGCAACTATCCCAAGGGGTAGTTGTCCATGGGGGAGTTGTCGTTAGGAATAGTTGTCTGGAAAATAGTTGTCCGGGGTAGTTGTCTCGGGGGTAGTCTTCCTAGAGGGTGGTTGCCCTAGGGTGTGGATAGCCAGGGGCTAGGCCGTCCTGATACTGATACTTTGTATACAGTGCGTATAACAAAAAGTGTACCCAACTTTGGTAGATCCTAATTAAAGAGTCATAACCAATATGATTTTGAAATCTATGTTATGATACAGAGTAACTCGTTTTCTATCTAATGATAACCTATTCATAATATTTCTGTCACGAGTGACTGAGCACCATTGTCTTTAAAAAGTATTGTCAAAATCGCCTTGTACCAAGTTTGGGCTGATGGAACGAATGCGAGCCATTTATATGCATGTGCTTCTTTGGTCTTAAATCCTTATAAAAGTTAAAGCATTCCTCGCGTTTCAGTGCTTCATTGTTTAAAATTATACAACTATGTAGGCTTTCACAGAACCTTGTTCAGATCCATAGGATAAGCGTTGATTATTTTGAACAGCTTATTAACTTTTTGTCTCATGATTTTTACGTTCTCTCTGCTCGCTTGCCAACTGCGCCATTTCACACGCGGAAGGAGCACAATGTGTTTATCTCGAATAACGAATGAAAACTCAAATGTGACTAAACCCAAATGCAAAAGAAGTATCAAACAAATTGACAGCAGACTTTCATTGAAAAATAATATCCCAATGATACTTTATCCATTTTGTATCACTCAATGAGAAAGGTTGCCTTAAACAAGGGATGCGAAAGAGGTCAAGTTTGTAATCATCGAAGATCAACGAAGAAAACATCAACTGAAGGTGGGTACACTTTTGTGTAGAAAAAACGAAACCGAGAACTATCGAAATTTTATCATAACTTAATCACAATTATAATTAATAAATGACACATATTTGGAAAGCTTAGATCCTCCTCTTTCATTTGATGCAACTCTTATGATGCATATTTCACGCATAAGTGATTAAAAGCAATTTAACGAGAGGAAACCAAAAAGTCATTTGGCAGGCGGTATCTGAATTTCAAGGAGAAAATCACATTTCTAGAAAGTTCAATTCCTGCCCTTTCATATGACACCTCAATCTGGAAAAGTGAGCCAGGAATAACAAAGTTCTATTTGTTTAAAGTAATGCTTGCATTTCCATAATATCATCAAACAAGTTCGTTTTCACTGGCTGCCTGCCGTTGCAACGAACAGAGTTGACAAAAGACTTAACTCCGTTTCGTTGAAGATCAGCCATGCATCAGGTCTTTCGTCTTCGTTGTGCATGGCTGATCGTTTTTTTCTGGGACGCACTGTATATATAGTACGCATGGCTCCATTTCTGCATAAATGATTAACTTTTTATTAAGGACAAGAATTTATTCTCATAATCATGGAATAATCTTTGACACGCCTTTCATCATAAACGTTCATAACTGTCCCATTTTACCTTTGACCTTGAGGGTAATTCCATGCTAAACCTGTTACCATAACAATATATAGAGGGGAACTATAATAGCTAAAATGCGAGTTTCTTCGTGATCAAAAGGAAATGTTTGTTATAAACCCGATCTATACAAACAACGACATTACTATGTTTGCTTTCTTTGTTTGATCGTGTAGCCCAAATATGTCCAAACCCGTCATATTTCAGCTGTATTGTTGAATTAACAGTCGACGTTATGAAACTTGATATGCGCTACATGAATTTTGTCGTGCAGTAGAGGGTTAGAAGCGAAGTTGAACAGTGCTCTTAGCTCTTGGGATATTTGACTTCATTCTTAATTGGTGAGCCATTTCTGTGCGTTGGGCAGATTAAAAATAATGTAAATTTGTTGTATCTGAGAAGAGGATGAAGATGGTAAGTCTGATCTGTAATTATCGTTTTTGTTTTGTTTTGTTTGTCTCTCTACGCCCCTATCTCTCTCTCTCTCTCTCTCTTTCTCCCCTTCCCCCCCTCTCTCTCTCTCTCTCTCTCTCTCTGCTTTTTAAAAAAATATATAGTTCGCCATTCGATGGGGGGGGGGGGCACAATAATTTCGGTAATTATACATACTGTATTCAGTATTTACGAAAAATTGGTATTACCAATAATGATTAGATGTTTGGTAGTTAACTTATCTCTGTTCGCTTATATAGTATACATGTACAATGTATACATGTACAGTCATGTTCTGAATATTACAACTTATTTCAGTAAATAATTATGTAATTTCTTAGGAGCAAATTGCACATAGATTCAGGGGAGAGTCACATTACTGATGAATTTATTTAGCATGTTTAAAGTTGAATCCACTACAAATTATATTTTAGTGATACATTCTCAAAATATTGGTTTATTTATATACTACTTCGAGAGTTGATTCCTCTGGTATATTTTGAATACTGAACTATCATAGGAAGACTTCACTTAATAACATGCTGTACATAGAACTAGAGAGAGTCATCAGGACCAGTACTTAAAACTATGAGCTCCTCAAGAACAGCAAAACAAATATTTACCAATACGATGCATGTCCCTCATCATGCTATATAATATCTCTACCTCTCTTCTCTCTGTTATTTACCTTGTTTCAGTTTAAGGTCATAAGAAAATTAATTTCGGCAAGTAAATACTACTGGCAATTTAAAGGGGCCCTTTTATACAAGAAAGTTTGACGTTTTAAACTCCGTATAGTTTAGATACATAAACCTTATTAAATTTGGATCGAATTTCCCTTTTGTATAATTGTATAGATAATTTTTTGAAATTTAAGATGATTCGACGGTTCGAAAACTAAAAGCTACGGTAGGCCTAGTGCCCCCTTTATAGAAAATACCCTTCCTCTATGTAATAACATTAACAATCATCCATAAATGTGGTTACTATTCATGAACGTCTTTTTATGCGTTGGTGTAAAGTCCATCAAGGCTGATAAAGTGTTGTATAACTCACATAATACCCTCTTATAATGCTTTACAAGTCTCATCTTTGTGTAAAGTCATTTAGAAATTCGTATGTTCATTCAGCTAATATTTGATCGGAAATAAATCATGAAGATACATACTTGGTAAATTTTAATACCAACCCTGTGTTTTGAATAATTTGCCTGATAATTATGAGTGGATATTATCACATTGTAATACAACAACCCACATACAGCTACTCCACTAGGACCTCCTTTACCCCCCCCCCCCCCCCCTCCCCATAGGAGGATAACCATACCTCCACGAGATAATTATTTTGTACTCCTCATCAGATATTGCGAATAACTTCTTCAATTTGATAAATCTGCCAACAAAGATAATAATTATCGGGGTAGTTGTCTGGCAGTATCCGGTCAAAGAATAGTTGTCCGGGAGTCATTTTGGCCTGTAGGGTAGTTCTCGGAGTGGCATTCCGGGGAGCTAATATTGTCTTAAATCCCCAATTTAATTATGAAAACGAAAATAAAGCAGCAAATAATGCATTGATTCATTGATTATGCCACAATAATATAGCAAAAATATGAGCGATCCCATTTAAGAGCCCTGTGGGACACCCTATTCATATTAAAAGAGAATCTTATTCTGTAATGTTAAAGATGAGTTCGGAATAAATAAAAAAAAGGGGGCTAAACTTATCAACCGATGCACTAAACATGAAATCATTGTTTCTTGCAGAACATTCATCTGTGTCTATCAAGGCCCTGTGGAAGAATTCAGCTCGGCTCGTATTATTTCCACGTCAAAGACAACTTGACATTGATATTTCCATGGGATATCTCTGAAGACTTTCTGAAGACATAATTCCCTTTTGGTCAAATCATCCTATTCTGAAACCGTCGAAGAAAGGCTACATCTATAACGCTTAGGCTCTAGCTACGTCAGATACAACTTGACATCAGTATTTCGAGCCATGGGACATCTATGATGATCTTTAACATTATAGCCAAACTACACATTGAAGACACAATCCTGTTTCTATTAAGCGGTGCCGTCGAAGATTAATTTGTAGGTGAATTAAAGGCTGAAGATATTTTATATATACAGAACGCTCATCAACTATGGCGACAGCAGATAATTTTGAGACTTTGTCTTCTGGTGCAAGAGTAGGATATGATAACATCACTCTCTGCAATGTAACATTTTTTATTGAAACGGGTGACTATATTCTTCAAGACTACGCTACCCGTATCATCTTAGCTCTCCTACTCCTCGTCATCTTCCTGATCGGAATCCTTGGAAATCTCTTCGTCGTCGCCGCCGTCATCCTCTCCAAACGACTCCAGAACACCACAAACGTTTTCGTCATCAACTTGGCCGTCGCAGACTTTTTGACAGCTATGTTCCTTCCCGTTCACGCCTCCACGCTCTTGAGTAAATCTAGTTGTTACATCCCGGAGCTGCTCTGCCAGTTTGTAGCGGCAGCATCCTTAACCACGCTCGGGTGTAGTGTTGTCACCTTGGCAATGGTAGCGTTTCATCGCTTCACTGTCCTGTACGCTGTTTTAAAACCAGAACCAAAGTTCGACAACGCATTTAGCACTCGGAATATCGTGATAATGGTTTCGTTTACCTGGCTCTACCCAATTGTTCTCATGTGTATCATATTACCGTTGGACATTGGGTCCCTTGGATACGCTGTCCAGTACAAAGTATGCGCGAAAGACACAGCGAGTAATGATTCCGACTACCTGACCCTGACAGTATGTCTGCTCGTTCAGTTTCCCGCCTTCGTCGTCATCATCGTCTGCTACGTCTATATTTTCAAAATGTACAGGCGTCATCAACGCGAGATGAACGCCACTATGGCGCCCTCACCCTATATGATGTCCTCTACCAATAGTGAAATCGATGTTACAATCATTGAAGACTTGCCAATGGAAGAATCGGATACTCCTAACGATGGTAACATCAATGTTGGTTTTGATGAAAGTGACGGCATCAAGACCGCGCCACCTGAAGATCGAGAAATCTTAGCAGAACCTTTTGACGCAGCGGAGCTTCGGGAAAGCGAAACAATGAAAAATGGGAAACATTCTCTCGCATCTCGAAAATGCCCAAACTCGAACAGCCATACAACCAGTGAATTATCGACCAGCTCGGTGCAACCCAGAGCTCTTCGTCAGCCCATCACTGTGGACACTCTAGCCAGGGACAAGCAGAATGTTCGCTTCAAGCAACAGCGTCAGATAACCATCAATCTATTCATCGTTGTCTGCGTCTATACAATATGCGTGATGCCATCAGCTATCATCTTCCCCATACCATCCACAGGTCCAGCCATACCTTGGCTTACGTTACTCTTCCTGCTCAACTCATGCGTGAATCCAATCATATATGCTTTGAGGCATCCAACCTTTAGCGCCGTTCTCAAGTGCATGGTGAAATGTAGGTTTAGAGACATTCCAGAGCCTTCATCCTTCCTGAGGTCGACTTCACTCTCCTAGAAATGACAAAAGAAATCCTCATGAATATGAGGTGGTCAGACTGTTGCTCCAGCAACATGAATTATACTCTAGTTTTTAGGATTAGGTTAACTTTTTGGTTTTTGGTTAGTTTTAGCGATAGAGTTTGGGATAATGGTGGTTAGAGAGTTGAAGTTTAGAATTCGCCGAGTGTTCGAATTTGATCTCGTATCAAAGGCGAAGCGGAGCCTGTGTTGTGGAACTGAAAGAGGAAGAAGAAGACAAAACAAACACTTCACACATATCTTGAAATTCCTGTTGACTATTGAAAATTCTATTATTATTTCATTTACACCTAAGGCTACATTGATGTAGCCTAAGAACTGTTGAATTTCAAACCTAATCAACACAATCGCAACATGCGCAGTTCCCGTGAAAAATGTATTATTGTTATTATTATTATTATTATTATTATTATTATTATTATTATTATTATTATTATTATTATTATTAATATTATTATTATTATTATTACATAAATTATATATTGTACCGTTACAAGATAATCGTTGCCAGTATTTTCGTTTTTAAGTAAGCCCGGCGAATTTGCCAACAAATAGAACTTGAATATCGTACTTAGGCCTTCGCTTGTCGATATAATGTGAATTAAGCGTCCATGCATGTATGTGTAAACGTGTGCTGACAGGGAGGACTCATTCCTGCGTACTTTCATCGAGCAAATGTTGTTCAAAACCAACTTTCTGTGCGATTCGTCTTGATCTGTAATGTTGAATGCGACTTAATTGTTTTACGCAGAATATGACCTCTGTTGATAGCCAGAGGGGCGTTAACTCATAATACTTTAAACAAAGCCTTCCCTGGTTCTCTTGTTTCTTCTCTCGCCATAAGGTACATTGTAGTGACGTCCCGCCCCTCCAAGTTATATGATATTTTTTTGTATATTCAAGAGAAGCGTTTGTAAGGCGAACAATGAGCAATGTGTTAACATTTTTATCTTTCAATATAAAACAGTTCCTTTTTTTCCCAGTGTTATGTCAGGTCGGGTTAATGAACTTTTTGAGCATCTGCAAGACAGCGATGTAGGGCTGTACCTCTACCAGGCACTGCGCGCACCCTCAATTAAAACAACTAAATCATAAGAAGGTCCCCTTTTGCTCTCTTGCTCGATATACCTTAGGATGTTGTCTTCATTGTAAAACACATCATGTCATTGTAATTCTGAGTTGTTATATTTTCACGAGGTTTCAATTTATAACAAGGTTCATGACGTCGTGTTTCCCTCTTTTTCTCTTTTGAATTAAGTTTTTGCAATATTATAGAATGGTGGGGGCATGAAAGACTATCATGCATTCTGTGCCTGGTATAATTATAAGTACTTGCTACTGGTTGAAGAATATATTATTTGAATTTGAAGAATTAAATGGTGAGAACATTCATTATTCAAGAACTGGTTTAAGAGGATATTGTGATATTAAAGAGCCTTTGCGGGAGAGCGAAGTGAGCACGCATTTAACCAAAAAATTAGTCAATTGAAAATGTGATTGTCATCAAAACTAGCACATGAAAACTATAATTTAATGGCTCTTTACAATTATGTATGAGATAGAGGCTGGCCAATATCATTATTAGGTTCTGTACCGTAGCCGCCAGACCTCCGCGGTAGCCCCCTCGTACGTCTGTGCCTCTATTTAGCTAGATTTATAAAGATTCCACGAAATCTCTAAAAATATAGATTGGCTCATACAATATGCTATTTATCTGAGCATAAACACCAAACTATTGCAATGCAATACAGTGAATTTTTCTCATTTTTTGTGTTTTTGTTTGTTCTTGTAGACGCCGGCTAGCAAATTTATATTGATATTTACATAGCTCCATAATGTAGCAGAATGAACAATAGAATTTTATGTTGTTGCCCGAATGGAAGAATATTCGTATATCACATACGTACCGTATGATATTACATGCGGTATAATAGTTAGGGAAATCCCCTATACTTCCCAAACAGGCGTGCGGCTTTCGATAGACAAAAGGTGTTGACATTGCGGGGGTGTTAACAATAGGTGCTAAACCACGGTTCAGCACACGGGCTCTCTTGTTAGTCCACTTCTTGATCTGTTTCCGTGTCGCGACGGCCCAATCAGCTGAGAAAATTCCACAACCTCAACGCTAAACTACGGAAGCCCATTAGTGCCACCTACGAAATAAATTTAAGAGAAATTATCTGGCGGCCGCCAGATAATTATCTGGCGGCCGCCACTTAATTATCTGGCGGCCGCCAGTTAATTATCTGGCGGCCGCCAGTTAATTATCTGGCGGCCGCCAGTTAATTATCTGGCGGCCGCCAGTTAATTATCTGGCGGCCGCCAGATAATTATCTGGCGGCCGCCAGATAATTATCCGTGTCTTCACGGTTGTTTCATCGCAAAGCATGCCGGGACATAATTCTAGTACATTTTCACCTTCGCCGTGATCAGCTGTCCCGTTGCAAACAACGGGATTCTTATCGAAGCAACATCTTAATCTTGTACATAATCCGCTATTCTGCAGTGATTTTCTTTCACTCCAGTATCGTTTGTACGGTAAGAAACCAAAGTTTGTGTTTATTCATTTTTATGACGAATAAAGCTGATAATACGACGTAATGCATGAGAGTGGGCCGGGTCAAGCTTTAGTAAATGTAGGCCTAGACCTCTAGATCTAGTCCCGTATGTTTAAATGTGTGTGCATTTTAAGTAGACTGATTGCCTTGTGTCTATCTTGATCTGAATATAATAGTCTATGTATTGATGAGCTCTACTTGAGGATCTACATGACAGGGGCGTATGAAGGAATTTTTCGAGGGGGGGGGGGTTAAAATTTGAAAATCGTGCCGAAGATTTCACATCGACTCAGCCAGCCGGAGAATGAGAGGGGGGGGGGGGGGGTCGGTTAGCAGTGAAAAAAATACACAGGGGCTCGGGGCGAATTAGCCCCTGAAATGCCCAAAAGAGCCCCCGAAAATCAGAAAAGAGCCCCCATGAATTTGCGTAGAGTTCAATGCAAAACAAATTTTAGAATGTTATTTTCATGTAGGCAAGCTTGAAAAGTAGCCCCCGAAAAATAAATATTAATTTTTTCCCTGTCGGTTAGAGCATCTATTTTTTCCCGAAAATATGAATTTGGCAGACCGATATTTTGTTCAGTTGATGGTAAGGTCACCTTTTTGGGGTCACCCTTTTGGGGCCACCCTTTAGCACAAAAATATTTCCCCATGATCTAGTGTGATAAGGGTTCTTTTGTTACCGTTATTCTTCAGGTTACAAACTTAAATTTGATTGTCTTTTTCCTTTTATTTATCAGTTGCAGCATCATCAAACACTATATGGCCGATGAATCAGAAGATGACGTAGATGCTACGAGAGAGCTCATTTCACAATGGACAACAGAAGTGATACGTGACTTTCTACAAGGAGGGGACTCAAGCTTGGAGAAGTCATTATTTTATGGGTGTTCTCTGCCCTGACGCTGGGGGTACTGTTCAGCCATTCGAGGTAGAGAGGTAGAGAGGAATTGGACGATGGATGGATGGGGGGGGGGGGGGGAAGAAAGGCATGTAGAGATGGCCGTCTACTATGTATAGAGACATTTGTGTGCTACTGGATAAGGACCCTCCATCACTAGAGGGAAGAATAATGAGAGACTACAAAGAGGGGAAGGCATTTAGTTATTTTGTCAGTTTCTGGTTAGGGAGACATTTGTTTCATCTCCTGGGAGAAAGCTGTCTGAAATTCAAAATGTATTTGATACTTGAATAAATTTAGTTCATTTTCTAGACTGGTTCATGTCAAACCATTGATTCTACTTTCTTGTGAGTATACACTGTAGTCGGAGAGAAAGAGAAGTAACACGAGTAAAGAATGAAAATTGAAAAAGAAGCCAACATTTGAACGAGGAGGAGAAAATGGAGATTACGTTGTTGCCCATCAAGTTGGAATAATTGTTCTTACTGTTTGTACATAATGGTCATATATTATAAGAACTGTATTGATCAATCTCAGGAGTCTTATACATGTAGATTGATTAATACAGTTTTGAGATGATGATGATGATCGTGATGATGAACGAGAAGGAGAAGAGGAGGAATATATCAAGAGTTGATGAAGAAAAGATTGATAGAGGGGTTATCATTACAGAGAGAGAGAAAGAGAGATAGACTAACATGAGGAAGGGAGAGCAAGAACAAGGCTATGACATAGGGGAAGAGATAGAAATCAAAATTATATTTATACAAACATTTACTAAATTAAAATAATAAATTAGAATACAAGGCGAGAGGAAAGAATGCAAACTAAAATTAAGCAAAGACCATCACTATATCGTTCACATTATAATATAAATTAAGAAAAGGTACATGGAAACATGTACATTTGTAAAATTCAATCTTTCATTCTCTTGATCTTCCTCTTCACACCTAATTCTTGCTCTCCCTGTCTATCTCTCCCACCCCTCTCCGTCTCTCTCTCTCTCTCTCTCTCTCTCTCTTTCTCTCCCCCTCTCTCCTTATTATCACTCTTTCTCTTTCATTAAGTGTCGACATCTCTCTCAATGCCTCTCTCTGTTTCTATGTTTCTCTTGTTAAATATTTTAAACATCAGGTCTGTCTGACCTTCCTCTCTTGAATAAATCATGAATAACTTCAACTCAGTGTCCTACATACAGTAATGATTGCTTAGTAGTCATCTACAACCCTCGCTGTGTTGTTTGATTTTATTTATAAAATAAATATAACCATGAGATCAATATCAACAGGTTTAATGCAATGCATATAAGTTGACATCCTATGAAGAAGTAGTACCCCCCCCCCCCCCCCCCCCCCCCCCCCACCACTCCGGGAACGGAGGTACCGCATGCGTGTTCCCAAATTCTCTGGCTCGTAACAAAATTTAAAAAATTAAAATATAAAAAAAAAACGCTACTTTTAAAGCGCTTACCACCAAAATCTCTAAGCGCTATAACAAACAAAAATAGACTGATAAACA